CAGCCTTCCACAAACAGAGGCCAGGGACACCATTTCTACCTCCTGGCTAATACCACTCCATGGACCCAACCTCCATGACTTGATCTCACTTCCCTTTAAACTCTGTTCTAGTTGTAGCCTTCACAGCCTCCTGCAGCAAGGAGTTCCACAGGTTGACTATTTGCTTTGTGAAGAAGAACTTTCTGTTGTTAGTTTGAAGCCTGCTACCCATTCATTTCATTTGGTGTCCTCTAGTCCTTCTATTATGGGAACTAACGAAGAACTTTTCTTTATGCACCCTCTCCACGCCACTCATGCTTTTCATAGAATCATAGAATAATAGGACTGGAAGGGACCTCAAGAGGTCATCGAGTCCAGCCCCCCGCCCTCAAGGCAGGATCAAGCTCTGTCTACACCATCCCTGACAGATGTCTATCTAACCTGTTCTTAAATATCTCCAGAGAGGGAGATTCCACCACCTCCCTTGGCAATTTATTCCAATATTTGACCACCCTGACAGTTAGGAATTTTTTCCTAATGTCCAATCTAAACCTCCCCTGCTGCACTTTAAGCCCATTACTCCTTGTCCTGTCCTCAGAAACCAAGAGGAACAAATTTTCTCCTTCCTCCTTGTGACACCCTTTTAGATATTTGAAAACCGCTATCATGTCCCCCCTTAATCTTCTTTTTTCCAAACTAAACAAGCCCAGTTCATGAAGCCTGGCTTCATAGGTCATGTTCTCTAAACCTTTAATCATTCTTGTTGCTCTTCTCTGTACCCTTTCCAATTTCTCCACATCTTTCTTGAAATGTGGCGCCCAGAACTGGACACAGTACTCCAGCTGAGGCCTAACTAGTGCAGAGTAGAGCGGCAGAATGACTTCACGAGTTTTGCTTACAACACACCTGTTGATACAACCTAGAATCATATTTGCTTTTTTTGCAACAGCATCACACTGTTGACTCATATTCAACTTGTGGTCCACTATGACCCCTAGATCCCTTTCTGCCATGCTCCTTCCTAGACAGTCGCTTCCCATCTTGTATGTATGGAACTGATTGTTCCTTCCTAAGTGGAGCACTTTGCATTTCTCTTTATTAAACCTCATCCTGTTTACCTCTGACCATTTCTCTAACTTGCTAAGGTCATTTTGAATTATGTCCCTATCCTCCAAAGAAGTTGCAACCCCACCCAGTTTGGTATCATCTGCAAACTTAATAAGCGTACTCTCTATCCCAATATCTACATCATTGATGAAGATGTTGAACAGTATGGGTCCCAAAACAGACCCTTGAGGAACTCCACTTGTTATCCCTTTCCAGCAGGATTTAGAACCGTTAACAACAACTCTCTGACTACGGTTATCCAGCCAATTATGCACCCACCTTATCGTGGCCCTATCTAAGTTATATTTGCCTAGTTTATCAATAAGAATATCATGCGAGACCGTATCAAATGCCTTACTAAAGTCTAGGTATATGACATCCACCGCTTCTCCCTTATCCACAAGGCTCGTTATCTTATCAAAGAAAGCTATCAGATTAGTTTGGCATGACTTGTTCTTCACAAACCCATGCTGGCTATTCCCTATCACTTTATTACCTTCCAAGTGTTTGCATATGATTTCCTTAATTACCTGCTCCATTATCTTCCCTGGGACAGACGTTAAACTGACCGGTCTGTAGTTTCCTGGGTTGTTCTTATTCCCCTTTTTATAGATGGGCACAATATTTGCCCTTTTCCAGTCTTCTGGAATCTCCCCTGTCTGCCATGATTTTTCAAAGATCATAGCTAAAGGCTCAGATACCTCCTCTATCAGCTCCTTGAGTATCCTGGGATGCATTTCATCAGGACCTGGTGACTTGCTGACATCTAACTTTCCTAAGTGATTTTTAACTTGTTCTTTGTGTATCCTATCTTCTAAACTTACCCTCTCTCTGCTTGTATTCACTACGTTAGGCACACCTCCAGACTTCTCGGTGAAGACCGAAACAAAGAAGTCATTGAGCATCTCCGCCATTTCCAAGTTCCCTGTTACTGCTTCTCCCTCCTCGCTAAGCAGTGGGCCTACCCTGTCCTTGGTCTTCCTCTTGCTTTTAATGTATTTATAAAAGGTCTTCTTGTTTCCCTTTATGCCTGTAGCTAGTTTGATCTCATTTTGTGCCTTTGCCTTTCTAATCTTGCCCCTGCATTCCCGTGTTGCTTGCCTATATTCATCCTTTGTTAGTTGTCCTAGTTTCCATTTTTTATATGACTCCTTTTTTATTTTGAGATCGTGCAAGATCTCCTTGTTAAGCCAAGCTGGTCTTTTGCCATATTTTCTATCTTTCCTACACAGCGGAATTGTTTGCTTTTGGGCCCTTAACAACGTCCCTTTGAAATACTTCCAACTCTCCTCAGTTGTTTTTCCCTTCAGTCTTGCTTCCCATGGGACCTTACCTACAAGTTCTCTGAGCTTATCAAAATCTGCCTTCCTGAAATCCATTACCTCAATTGTGCTGGTCTCCCTTCTACCTTTCCTTAAGATCATGAACTCTATTATTTCGTGATCACTGTCCCCTATACTGTCTTCCACTTTCAAGTTCTCAACTAGTTCCTCCCTATTTGTTAAAACCAAATCCAGAACAGCTTCTCCTCTGGTAGCTTTTTCAACCTTCTGAAACAGAAAGTTGTCTCCAATGCAGTCCAGAAACTTATTGGATAGCCTGTGCCTCGCTGTGTTAGTTTCCCAACATATGTCTGGATAGTTGAAGTCCCCCATCACCACCAAATCTTGGGCTTTGGATAGTTTTGTTAATTGTTTAAAAAAGGCCTCATCCATCTCTTCCACCTGGCTAGGTGGCCTGTAGTAGACTCCTAGCATGATATCACCCTCGTTTTTTACCCCTTTTAGCTTAACCCAGAGACTCTCTACACAGCTATCTCCTACGTTCATCTCCACTTCAGTCCAAGTGTGTACATTTTTAATATACAAGGCAACCCCTCCTCCCTTTTTTCCCTGTCTGTCCTTCCTGAGCAAGCCGTACCCTTCCATACCAACATTCCAATCATGTGTCCCATCCCACCAGGTTTCTGTAATACCAATGATATCATAGTTGTATTTATTGGTTAGCAATTCCAGTTCTTCCTGCTTATTACCCATACTTCTCGCATTTGTATATAGGCATCTAAGATACTGATTTGATCTTGCCTCCCTGTTGTGCCCTGACCCTCCTTTCTCCTTGCCATTATAGGCCGTAGTCCTCCCCCATTTCCAACCCATCTCCCAGTCCCGCACATTCAGCACTTACCTGTGGGCTTTGCTCACCTGTCCCCGTGAAACCTAGTTTAAAGCCCTCCTCACAAGGCTAGCCAGTCTGTGTCCAAACAAGGCCTTCCCACTCCTGGAAAGGTGAACTCCATCTCTGCCAAGCAGTCCTTCCTGGAAGAGCACCCCGTGGTCAAGGAAGCCAAAGCCCTCCTGGCGACACCATCCTTGCAGCCAGGCATTCACCTCCAGGATGCACCTCTCTCTGCCCGGGCCCCTACCTTTGACAGGAAGGATTGGTGTGCGATGTAAGGCTGGAGCAGACGGGTCAGATCCCGTTCCAAGCAGGCGCAGGGTGGAGGTTCAGGCCCTACCACCATCGGTTCATCCTCAGCTTCTTTCCGTCATGCGATACGTCGGCAGAGTACAGCAGCCTTTCGGGTGGGCATCAGCTACCAATTTAGAAGAAAGATTGGATGGCTAACAGTTAGTAACTACCTTGAATTGTACTTAGCCATCCAATCTTTCTCCTATATTGGTAGCTGAAAACTTTATTTTTATTCTTTCGGTGCACTTTCAGAAAGATTGTCTTTTGAAAGGTTTTTTTATATATATATTTTCAACTTAAATGCATTCTTTCAGGCATATTATAAACCAGCTGACAAAGCTTTTTTAAGCTAATCTAAATGTATTTTAATATCCTTTTCTCTTTCTGTGTGTTTGGAGGGGAAGGGTGAGGAAACTTAAGTGGCTGTACCTTCAGATGTATAATTTTCCATGAAATTTTCCCCCCAAAATTTTTTTCTTGGAAATTTCTCTTCTGATAGGAGGAGGAGGAGAAATAGGAGATGGTAGATATTTTGAGGCCACCTTAAATTAGGGGTCCATTGAAACAGAATCTCTCCTGTCCAGAGGAAAGAAATCATCTTTGTGGCTGTGCACACTAGATAGTGTGACTTCAGCAAGAGCTGCATATATTGTTGTTGATTGGGATCCCCCGCTGGTGCACAAAAGGACCAGAGCGACATAATGCAGTTCCCTGCTGGATTGACTTCATTCCCAGAAATCTGGGGAGAAAGCTGTGAAGAGTAACTGGACTCACTACTTTTGCTCTTGAAATCCACAATGCATCTTTACTTTGAGAGCAATCTGAGGAGTATTTGTACATATAAAGGGGAAAAATTGAAAAAAGTTGCATGCAGATAGCGAAGATGTCTAGAATTCTCAGTCTATTTGAGAAGATTTGCCATTATAGTATTTAACAATGGATTCCAAATTTTTTATTCCTTACCCTCCTGTCTGTACCCTATCACCTGGAGTTGAGCCCAGGAGAGGAGCCACGACTTCGGGATTGGGAGATGTAGACAAGAGTAAGGGGGTCAATGTTGGGGCCTTAGCTGGAGGTGAAAGTGGGATCAGAGCCCGGCTAGGGGCACCAGTTGGCAGCCAGTACCCTGGACACAGGGCTGGTAGCCAGGGCCTTGGACTCCCCCTCTCCACCGCCCCCACCCTAGAAGGGGCTGGCCTGAGCTTCAGTTATGCCCTCCCAAACATTCTTTCGCGACCTGGTGGCAGGGGATGTCCCAAAGACTGAGGACCTCTGTTGTGTACTGATTTAAAAGGCTAATAAGCCAGCTTGTCAATTTCCTGAAGAGTAACTATGATGTTTTTAATAGTAGTACTAATAATGGTATATGTTGTTTCCTCTTGGAAAAAAACAGGGTTTAAATATATTTTCCTTGCTGTTGAGTGTCTATACTTCAGTCACTTGAGCCTCATATGGGCTACAGGGACTTTTCTATTCACTATTATACATGCTTATTCATGACTATTGCTGAACATTAATAAGTAAAACATTATTGACTCTTGTTTACTTTTCTGTTCCCCTTTTAGCCATCTTTTTATTTGGCAGGCCCATAATGCATTGTTCATTATTTGCTGTTTGCTAAAAGTGTTCATATGTCAGATGTCAGAAGAGGAACTGCAACTTCATTTTACTTATGAGGAGAGAATACCAGGCTCATATGGTAGGTGTTGAATATCTTTGAGCAAACAAACAATTCCCCATGTATGTGAATTTGTTGAAAAACTTTTATTACAGCACCCAGTCCACCTTCAAGATCCCAAATGCCACTTTAAAATTTGAAATAGTAAAGTAATTATGCTTACCCTTATGTTCATCACCCATAGAAAAAAACAGCTGGATAAACTTTGAACCCCAGGAGAGCCTGAGCACTCAATATGGGCCTACCTTTGAGCCCATTGTAGATAAAAGCTATCTACAGAAGACATCACCATCCATATTTGTGCTTCAAGAGCCCAATCCCAAAATATAGCATCTCATCAGAGAATAAGGTTCCAAGCATAGTAAAGGAGAAGAGGAGGGATGAGGGGAATCAGAGAGAAATGTCTTTCAGGATGCCTGGCAGCTTAGGTTTGCCTGAGAAAGCTTTGAACTTTTATATAAAACACATGGGTTTGATTTCGACTCCTGATGATTGTGTTCCCTAAGGCTACACTGCAGGCTTTTTGTGCACGAACTGGTTTGGATGGCACTAACAAATCTTTGTCCCTTTATGCCTGTGCTGATACGCCATGATCTCCATCTAGATTACAAGCTCAGTAGAAATTATAGGACTTGGAAGGAAAGCCTCTAGGGATAGACACTCTGGTCTTATAGGTATTTAAGGTTCTAATCATATGTGGCTTATTGCATAAAACCAGTTACTTTACTTCAGCATGGCGGGGGGGGGGGGGGGAGGAGAAGAAGAAGGGGGACTGTGGAAAAAAGAACCCACAAGCATCTGAATATGAGCTTCCTTCAAACAGTCATTCCAGGCAAGAGCTTGTGTTGTGAGTGCATAATAATTTTGTGCATAAGACTAGTGAAAACCATTCATTAAAATCTATTTAACTCCTTGGCACCTGCTTTTGCTCTGGGGAAACCAGACTTCTGGTGCCAAAAGATTAAGAGCTACATGTTGAAATGGTTTAATGTCTTTAAACTGTGATGAGTAATCTCTGAGAATGAGGTCACATAGCTGATACATTAAACAAGAAATGCCCACTTACAATAAACCAGTGGTCACCAACATGGTGCTTGCGGGCGCCATGGCGCCTGCGGGGGCATTTGTGTGAGCCCGCCAAGTGCTTGGGGCTGGCCTGGCCCCAGGCACGTGGTGCATGCATGGCGCTGGAGCTGGCCCCGGGTGCATGGCGCACAGTGAGCGCCGGCCCCGGGAGTGCTGCGGATTGGCCACCCGCGCTCTGGGTGTGCAGCGCTTGGAGGGGGTGCCGGCCCCGGGCATGTGGCGCATGCATGGTGCTGGGGCTGGGCGCATGGCGCATAGTAGGCGCCGACCCCAGGAGTGCTGCGGATTGGCCACCCGCGCTCTGGGTGTGCAGCGCTTGGAGGGGGTGCCAGCCCCAGGCACGCGGCAAATTGGCCGCCCGCACTCCGGGCGCACGGCGCTTTGGGGGGGCGCTGGCCCCGGGCACGCGGTGTTGGGGGGGATCGGCACACTCAGGGGGAGAGGCAGGTTGGTTGCAGAATCACAAGGCTAGAGGCCAGGATTGCAGTCTGGCTGGGAGCATAGACCTACAATCATGTAGCTTGCTGCGCTTTGGTCCCTGGATGTAGGGCTCTGCAGCCACCTTGCCTCTTCCCCACAAGTGTCCCACCCCCGACAGTCCCCACTTGGTCAGTGCTGGCCCCTCTGCTGCTGCCAGGGCCAGCATTAACCTCCCTGATATAGCAGATTGCCTGGTTGGGACCAGTCGGGTCCCAAGGATGCTGGAGCAGGGTTATTTATTCTTTACTATAGTTTCAACTAATTTGTCCAGTATTGACATTAGACTTACCAGTCTGTAGTTGCCAGGATCCCCTCGAAAGCCCTTTTTAAATATTGGCATCTCATTAGCTATCTTCCAGTCATTAGGCACAGAAGCTGATTTAAAGAATAGGTTACAAACCACAGTTAATAGTTCCACAATTTTACATTTGAGTTTTCAGAACTGTTGGGTAAATGCCATTTGGTGCCGGTGACTTAAGTTTATCAACTTATTCCAAAACCTTCTCTAATGACTCCTTAGTCTGGGACAATTCCTCAGATTTGACACCTAAAAAGAATGGCTCAGGTTTGGGCATCTCCCTAACATCCATAGCCATGAAGACTGAAGCAAAGAATGTATTTAGTTTCTCCACAATTACCTTATTGTCTTTGAGTGCTCCTTTAGCATCTCGATTGTCCAGGGCAGGGGTTCCCAAACTTTTTGACACGGTGACCAGTAAATCCATTGACAAGCTTTTGGAGGACTGGTAAAATTCATTTGCATATTTGCATATTCATTAAGCAAATGATGAATATTCAAATAAGTTGTTTCTGGGTCCTGCCAAAGCCCCCAGTGCCAGCTTTAGCAAAGCTTTTGATACAGTCACTCTCAATATTCTTGCCAGCAAGTTAAGCAAATATGGATTGGATAAATGGACTGTAAGATGGATAGAAAGCTGGCTAGACCAGGGTTTCCCAAACTTTTTACTTTAGTTGGAGCCCATTTTTTTTCAGTACTAAATGGGTACTGTTTTTTTGCAGCCCAAAAATATAAACACACATTTAAAAAAAAAAGAATTAAAAATGAATACATTTTCAGTGTTTCACCCAGCTGCATCCTTCGCCCAGCCTGGGGCAGCACTTGGGGGATGGGCACTCCAGGAGGTGAGAGCAGCAGCAGATTGGAGGGTAGGGTTGCCAGGTATCCAGTTTTGTGCCGGACAGTCTGGTATTTGAGGGTTCTGTCCAGGAAACAAATTGAGAAAATACTGGACATATAAAATGTCTGGTATTTTCTAATTAGGTAAGTTTTATTATTATTAGGTGTATCAGTTTGTAGCTGCAAACTGCCTGGCTGGTAGTTGTGCTCACGCTGTGTGAGTATGTCTACCAGCCAGGCAGTTCTCAACTACTCGAGGGATGGTATGGCGGGGGGGAGGACAAAATGGAATCCCGGGGGCTGGACTTACTCGTGTGCCTGGGTCTGCGTGTGCCTGGGTCAGTCCCACTTCCCGCCAGGATGTCTGCAACAAAGTCGTTCAGTTTGGTGTAATTTCTGTTATCTTATTTGCTCAATAAATCTGCGTAATTTGAAATGCAAAATTGTAAAGTAGAAGATATATCTAGCACCAGAAGGCATCAAGCCTTTTGCTTTTGCAGTCCAATGGGGTAGAGTTGCTGCTTGGGTTTTAGTTGTACAACTTCCACCCCAGGGGAAGTTGGTGCTAGGTTGGAAAAAATTGAGAACCCTTGGTTGGGACATAATATTTATCAGTTCCCTTAACTGTCGAAGAGATTGACTCCAGAGTTTGCCACATCATCTTTGTTGATTCCATTATTGCTGGATTAATTGGCAATGGTATTTTTGATAGTGTTACTTAGTGCAGTATGTCTGTTAGCTGGTGCTGATTTTCCACAACCTCGTGAAGAGGAATGTTTAATTCAGCAGCTACATGTTTAAAAAGGTCTTGGAAACGTGCAGCATCGTCTGAAGTCGTTGAAGCTGGAGCCAGAGACCCTTCCTCCTCTGGAGGCAGGTTATTGGGGTCAGATGAGACTAATAAGTCTCTATGTTGAGTGTAATGCCCAACAGGTGCTATCAGTGTTATAGTGGGAGGCACAGAGGCTAACTGAGGAGCTGAATCATGCCTCGATGCTGAGGGCAGCTGTGACGTATCAGACGCCTCTCTGGTAGCAGCTGAGGTGCCTGTTAATGTGATCAGCACTATGCTCTCATGCCAGATAGTGCTGCAGCTAATGAGGCAGGTAACTTGAAGCCTGTCACCCCAAAGCGCGATTTAGCGCATGAGCTCTGTTCGTCTCCATTGGAGGCTCCAAAGACACCAGCGGCATCATACGTGCGGAGGCACAGTGCCGCCGTTGCTCTGGGCACTGGCCGGAGGGAGACAGCTGCTTCAGTGCCATGGCCCCTTGAGGTGCTGAGGCGGCTCGCTCTTTTGGCAGGCTTTCTGGATCCCCGCTGCTTGTTCTGGAACTAGTGATGTTAGCTATCGGTTAATTGAATAGTTGACACGAATTCTTAGCAATTAATCAACTATTCTATAATCCCCAATGCAAACCAGCCCCACTCCTGGGAAGCCCCCTACCATCCTGTCAGCGGCAGCAGCACAGGATGCCTGGTCTGCGAGGGGAGCCAGTTTAACAACTAGTTCACTTTGCAGACCAACTGTCTGACGCCCCATCCCTGCCTGGGCTCGCTGCAGGCAGAGGCTGCTTCATAGCAGCCGCCCCTTCTTTGTTCCCCCTGCGCTATTGCCTCTGATGAAAGCAGCAGTGCAGGAGGTGGGGCAAACGGTACTAATAGAGCCAGTGCTGGGGGGAAAGTGGCTTTTAAGTTGCCCCCAACCCAACACTGGCTCATGCTTTCCCTGCACCTTTGCTGCCTCTGATACAGAGATAGCAAGACTGTGACGGAGGGGGAGGAGGTTTCCAAGTAATGGACTGGAATAACCGATAAGCCTAGGTTTATCGGTTACTTGACTAGCCGATGTTTTGTTCACATCCTTATCCGGAACCAGCTGCTCCAAGAAGCAGTCACTTAGTGTCAAGAAACTTTATCTCTGCATCTCGTCCTGAGGTGATGTGTATCTAGTCAATATGGGGATAGTTGAAATCTCCCACTATTACTGAGGTTTTTCTAAAGTTTTTATAGCCTCTCCAATCTCCCTTAGCATTTCATAGTCACTGTCACTATCGTGGACAGGTGGTAGATAATATATCTCTACGGCTATATTCTTATATCCATGGAGATTCTATGGAACATTTTGGTTCGTTTAAGATTTTTACTGTTTTCTGTTTTCTTTCATGTATAGTCCCACTTCCCCACCAGCTCCCTCTGTTCTGTTATCTGATATATTTTGTATCCTGGTATGACTGTGTTCCATTGATGGTCCTCATTCCACCAAGTTTCTGTGATGCCTATTATATCAATATCCTCCTTCAATATGAGGCACTCT